CTGAAGGCTAGGAAAGGTCCCACTAGAGTACCCTATGGGTGTCAAGGTAAAGGAGGGGTGGGCAAGAAAGAGGGGGAAGGAGGAAGTGGGGAGGAGATAGGAGAGACAGCGAGAAGGAAGAAAGCGGGGGGCGGGGGGAAGATTCAAAACAAGAGAGAAAATGAGGGAGAGGAAAATGTCCATAAGAGAGAGGAGAAGAGGAAACAGGCAGAAAAGGAAGAAAGAGGAAAAAGAGAAAGAGAAAGAGGAGAAAACGGGATTAAGGCAAAGGAAAGTGAGAAGAAAGGAGAACGACAGAAGAGACACCCTGAGACAGGGGTGGGGGGTGCTAGGAATTCAATTGAGCTTTTTTTTTTTTTAAATTTTGAATTTTAACATCTTTCCTGGTAAACTCAAAGAAGCATGCACTGAATTTCCATGGAAATGACCCACCTTGAGTTGTGGTGACCTGAGTCAGTCGGGAATCGTGATGGCAGGGACACTGCAAGTCTGCTGGGCTGATTTGAGGGGTGGGTGTGGGAGGCAGTGGGGAGGACGGTGTTAGTTTGCTTTGTATTCTAGGGTTGCTAGAGTGAGGACACGAAAGCCAATCTTTAACTAGTGAATTGGAACTTTAATGTTTACCAAGCAGATACAGCTCCCCTCCCCAGCCAGCCTGCCTCTCACCATTTCCAGGCCTCCTGCTAACTGGACCCAGCTCTCCCCTTGCCAGCCCTGGTGCAGAGACCTTTCTGCTGCCAAAGGAGCAAAGTGTTGCCACCACTTGTCATATCTTCTGGTTTTCTCTAGTCAGAGCCTCCCCCCTGAGGCCGGCCCTGTATTCCCAACTTTGGAAACAGATGGGCTTTTCCTGGAAGACAACTCCCTGATAAGTCCCCAAAGCTAGAGGAGCTGAACTAAGCATCAGGGCTGTATTTTTAAGGAGCACAGTCCTTCCACAAGGTCTCCGGTACACACTGGGCCCCAGGTAGCTCTCAGAGCAAGCAGGCTTCTGCTGCCCAGCACACCTCTGGCTCAGGTGGGCAGGCCAGTGCAGGGCTCCTTGCCTGAGCGCATGCCCATCCCTGAGCGGTTTCTCAGGTCTCTCATCTGACATACTCGTTTTACTCCCAGCTTTCTATTCCCACCTGCCCATGTCCTGAGGGAAAGCTCAGCAATTCCTGTACTCTGTAGTCACCTCGGTCCCTGCTAAACTCCTCAGATCACTAGTGATGCTAACTGAGATGGGTATCCTGGGTGATGCTAGCAGACCAGTGCTATTAATCAATTGCGCAAACCTTGGGCAAACCTCGGTCTCCTCATCTGTTGGGAAGACTCATATCTTCCTCAAAGGTGATTGAGAAGATAAAATGTGGCAATGGAGGTAACGTGCTTGGCTTCATACCAGTCACATAATAAGTGCTGAACAGTATTAATTGTGATCATTGAGCAATTGTCCACATTATCTATTTTTAAACACCCGCTACCTTATACGGTTAGTTATATTTGTTTGTGTGTGGCTTCTGTCCCGACTTGATGATGTGTGGTAAATGCAAAAGGGAAGGGGGGTGTGCTTTGACCTCTGCTTCCTATGGGCCACAGCACAATGCCTGATACACACTCAGCAAAGACTTGCTGATGGACTTAGCTCCACAATTGCTCCATGTTGACCCTACCCCTTCAATAGTGGTACAAACACTGAAAACAGAAGGGAATGTATTACAGGGGGCCAGAAGACTAGGAGACAAGGAGATATTGAAAGTGTGTATGGGGGTGGGGTTAGAAAAAGTGGAATCCACCTGCCTAGATTCTGGCAGAAGGCCATGCCCAAAAGGACCCTAATGAAGCGTCACGCTTTAGTGATCTCATCCTACTAAAATCAAGCAAAACTAAAAATTAATAATCCATTTGTGATGCTGGTCCAGGATGACTCCATCAGCCATTGAAACAGCTTTGATTAGGCTGAGTCCCAAGGAAACTGACCTCTGATTTATAAGACCAGCCACTATGGTCTTGCTCCTTAGCTTCCACTATCCCATGAGAAATGAATGTCAGTGCCCCTCTTTAGTCCCCAGATGATTGCCCATGTTAGGGGCATCTTCAGGTCTATGTCCATTGCTTCACAGTTGTTGTTGGTAGTGATGGTGTGTGTACTTGTGTGCATGACAACAATGAGATTCTTTTTCTTGCTGGAAATAGGACTCTAGCTCCATAACTTGCTGGGAAACAGAAAATACTACCTGTACTATCTTTCCCTGCTCTTTCTCTCTTCTGTGAGAAAGTTGAGGGCTGATTTTAATGGATTGATTTTAATGGATTTTGAAGTCTGGAAAAGTGCCTGAATTGCTGAGCTTACCAGTTTTCCAGGTTCTTTTTTCAATTTCATTCTCCTTAGTCAGGTGTGGAGTGTGTCCGCTAGGGCACCTAGTGTGGTCACCCCAGACAAGAAGAGGTCTTCCTCTTTCCCCTCAACCAAATAGGCAGCCCTGGGCACAGCCTCAGTAAGCAGGAACAGGTATTATTCGGTTGGGCAGTAACATTTTGCTTGGTTCTATCTCTGCATTTGCTAGTGCTACACTTTCTCTGATCTCCAAGGAGAGAACCAACTAACAATAATAATGCCAGTTGCGTTTTCTGGAATCAAAATGACTCCACTTTAAAGCATAATTTTACTTCTTCATTTTTTCCCCATTTGTCGGCATGTGAGTTTGTGAGGGGACAATGTGCCCTCAGAACTTGGAGCTGCAATTCTATCTTTTCTCCCTGTACCTCCCCTCCATCCCCCCGCTGGCTGGTGCCTGCCCTGAGAATTGTGTGATGAGGCTTTTGAGGCTATGAGTCTCCCTGAGAAGCCTTTGAAGAAAGGACGGTGTTCCAGGCAGCGGGTGGGGACTCTAGGCTATGCTTCAGCCCTGCCACCGGCTTCTATCTCCACCCCTCCCCTTTCTCAACATACATTCATATTTCTTTTTGCCTTTCCTCTCAAACTTGCCCAACTTGTCTTTGTGATTTCAGAAAAAAATGCCACTGGATCTCCCAGTATGAAGGATTAGCACAGATTATGGGGAACAGTGTTAATTATTGGTGGAAGGGGGGCTGGCGCGTCACTCCAATGTGCTCCTGATTTCCCCTGGGCCTTTCTGCCTAGTAATAAGCCTTCTTTAATCTGGCAGGCCCCTTGGTGAAATCAGCACCACGGACAGTGATATTGATTGCTTCTGAGAAACCATCACAGCTGCTCAACCAAATTACCTTTGATATGTGACCTTTAATGTAATTACTGCAACATCAAAGTATTTCTATAAATTATTAAAGAACTAATACACTCCATCATTTAGCTATTCTATTATATGTAAAATAAACAACCACAAGTTAATGTTAGATCCTGAACAATCCACACTCCGGGCTGAAATTCTACCAGTTCCTGGCTTCTCCCCTTTCAAAATCCTAAACCTCCCCCTTCCACCTTCTCTCTTTCTGTTTCCTCATCTGATTCCAGCTTTCAGCCGTCATGGAACTCCCCAGCAGTCTCCCTCAAGCTGATGAAGGGCCTCCTATAACAATATGGTATTTTCTATTCCATTTGGGTGGCTCTAAAATATCTATCACAATCTCCCCCAAACAAAGTACCATAAACACTTTATTAATCAGCACAAACCTTTCTCAGAAGCCTTTGATTATCTTACAATATGGCTTTATGCTTCGCACATAACGTGGGGCGATGTGGAGCATATTTCTGCCATCTTACAGAGGGCACCCAGAAAGTAATTACTATAATATATGTGCATGTAGCCGCGCCACTAAAAAACCAACTGGGAATGGCCACCCTGCCAGAGCTGGGCTCCACACAAAATCTGTGCGGCACTCCATTTCCATACATTTGCATCCGCGGGTATGTTATTAAGATGACTCAGCCCCGTGCTTTGCAATCACAAATACCAAAATCCAATACAAAGGCTGTCTTAATGGAAGGAAGGGACCATGTAATTCAGCACTCCCCACCCTGAAAGGGTAAAGAAAGACCTTGGATGCAAAGGAAGGCTGTCTCCGCCCCGGGTTGCATTTTCTCTCTGGGTCTACCTGGTTAACCTTTCCCGCTGTGGGGCAGAAATGGAAACGTGTGTTTACATACGGGTTGCTTGGTAAGAATGTAAACATGCATGTGTGAGCATGGCAGTGCATACACAGAGAACACACGTGCTTCCCTGCGGCGTCCATTGTATAAGCCTAAACATCGTGTATTTATAAATTCTTTAAATTATGCCCACAAACACACATCTTTCCATTTATCTTTAGATACTCAGCAGCCGTATATCTCCCCCCCCCCCCATCGCTCGGAGCCCACAGGAGAGACCGCGCAGACCCTTGACCCGAGGAACACTTCTTATTTTATGGTGATGAACTAGCCTCGATAATAGCCATGGCTGATATCACACCCAGTTAGGGGGGCCATAAATAATTCTCCTCTCCCCCGCACAGAAGCTATAAACCAGGGCTGAGGCGCGATAGTTTATCAAAGACGAGGGCTGGCTCCTTAAATAAACCGCGGTGATCTCACTCGCGGCGGCGCCGAGCTTTGGCCGCGAGGCGCCCCCTCCCATCGCGGCCCAGAACAGCGGTGGCGGAGGACGCGCTCGGCCTGCAGGGTCGCACTTCGGCCCCACTGGCCGGGTGGAGGCGGCTCGGGGCTCCGGGGTCTGGGGCGCGCGGCTCCCGCGTCCCCCTCCACCCGCGCGGGCGCCGGAGCCGCTCCCGGGTGCCCAGGCCATTGCCAAGTGCACCCCCCTCCCAGTTTCCGTCGGGCAGGGAGAATCCAGAACCCCGGCGGCCGCGCGAGTCCGAGCCTGGCGTCCACACGCCCTCGCACCCTCCCCCCGGCGCGGCGCGCGACTTCCCGGGAGCAGCCAGGCGGCGGGCTCTGGGGCCCGCGGTCTCCCTGCCCGCCGCGTCGCAGCCCGGCCTCTCGAAGTCGCCCCCTGTCGGCGCGTGTTGTCGCTCGCGCCGCGGCGGGCGCCACTTACCCCGGGCAGAGTCTTCTGCTCGTGCAGCGCGCTCTGGGCCTTCAGCGCTGACTCACGCTCGCAGTAGGTGAGGAAAGCGCAGCCTGGGGAGGGAAGCAAGCGCCGAGAAGGGTCAGTGGGGCGCCCCCGGCCCGCCGACGCGCCCCGCCGCCCGCCCCCAGTCTCCCGCCTCTCCCCGCTCCAGGTCGCTCTCCCCACCTCTTTCTCCCCCGTGTGCACCCTCTTCGGAGCTTCCCTGCCTCTCCGTGTGCCCGTCTGTCTGCCTCTTGTTCCTCCCGTTGCTTTTCTATTTTGTTCCCGCCGCGGAGTCTCCCCTCACCACACCCCCTCTCCCCCACGGGTCTCTCTTGGTCCCTGTGCCCTGGTGCCTCAGGCGTCTCTGCCCTCTCCCTGCTCCGTTCTGGGTGCTCTTTCTGTTTCAGCTCCAGCCCCTACCTCCCTAAAGGGACAGCTTTCACCCCCTGCTCCTCTAGCCACACTTGACCATAGATTCTTGCTCTGGCCCCTCAGGAGTGCAGGTGACTGCTCTGTCAGAGATGATGAGGGACTCTCCAGGCCTCCAAATAAAGGCCCCTTCTGTAAGGAAGACCCTGGGCCAGGCTGTGCTAATAAAAAGAATGGGGCTGCCGTGAATATCCTGTGTCACTTGCCCCAGTTCCTGCTGTCACATTGTAGTGAGGGTCTTCACATCCATCCCGGACAGAGGGCCTCTTTGAGACCCAGTCCACTGGGTCACAATGTTTGCCTTTAATTTACTGGTAACCCTAGTGCTCTGCCTCATGTGCTCACTCTGGCCTCAGTCTCCCCATCTGTGGACTGAGACTGTTGAGATGATTACCTCCAAAGTCCAGACTGGTTTTCCTATTAAGTGACTCAATGCCACCCCATTTCTCCTTACCAGGGAATCTGGATGGGACAGAGCAATCTGCTAACTCTAGGGGTGATGTTTTAATGCTGGCCCTTCAGGCACCATGACAAGGCAAAGACAATGTTTGGTGATGGCACAGTCCTTCTGGGAGTTTCCTTCTGGGTCCCCTCCAAGTGCCAAAGAACTCTTTCTCTGCCTGTAGTTGTGGCTGGGTGTGACTTGGGAGGCCTGCAAGGCTGGAAGTCATGGTGAAGATGGAAAAGCCCACTTTGGTTCAAACAGGCTTGAGTCCTCTGGGAATCAGTCATTTCAGACTTTGCAGAGCCACACTTACCCCCAGAGAAGGGGGCTAAGTACAAGAAGGCCACCCCACCTTGTTCCATCTCTTATTGTCTTTTCTAGCCTCCCTGCCTCCCATTCCTGAGCTCAAAGTCTGCTTAGTCTGTTTGCCTTCTCCTCCCATTTTTGCTTGTCCCAGCCTATCTGGTCAAGTTCTGCCTACTCCAGGCAGCCCTCCTTGACTGCTATAGTCCATTTGCAAGCAACCTCCTTTTCTGACCGCCCATACTCAGCCATTTGGTTCTTCTCATGGCCATTTATTTCCTGAGTGTCCTCTCTGTGCCAGGCTCTGTGCCAGGCCCAGTGGCGCAGGTTCTTCTCTCCTGAGGCCTGCAGGCTGGTGGTGGCAGTCTGGTGCCTACACAAGTCCTGGTCACTGGGCTTGCTCTGGCCTCTTGGTGCCAGACTCCCAGTATCCTCTGCAGCACCTGACTCATCCACCATCCGACTGGCTCCCAACAGATCTCTCTTCTTCCTTTTCAAATGTAGAAATTGGTCCTGCCTCCCTTCCCCTCCTACCTTCAGAAGGGGCAGGAATGGAATATGTGTGAAAGGAATATAGTGATGGAAGAAGGAGAGAAGGAGAGAACCGGAGAGACAGATTCAGTTCCTAGTGCCTGCTGTCCCTCCTGCCCTGGCTGGGAGGAAAGAGCCAAGGAGCCTGTCTCCCAGTCCACCCCTCCCCTCGTCCAGCCTCCTCCTCACCCCCTCCCTCCTCCCCCCTGGTCACTGGCAGACGGTTATTGATGGAGACACGGGGACTGAAATGAATAGCGGTCAGAGGCCCCCGTGACATAGTCCCTCGTGCTGCCGCCTGCCTCTCCCGGGGGCGTCTTTTCTCCTGTCCCCTCGTCCCCTTGTTGGCCTTGTCTCCTGCCTGCAACTGAGAGACAGCCACTGCTTCAGCTGCACACAGGCAAGCCAGCTTGGGACAAGGTCAGGGGCAGGTTTGCAGAGGGAAGAGGGAGGAGGAGGAGGAGGAGGAGGAGGAGGAGGAGGAGGAGGAGGAGGAGGAGAAAGAGGGGAGGGAGGAGGAGAAGGAAGAAAGAACCATATTGTTTCTGTGGTTCAGGATAGCAAGCAAAGGATTCCAGAGAAAAAAGAATCTGTTGCTTTTGTCTAGCTTCCAGGAATTTCTGCCATAGTTTTCGAGAGAGCTCACAACTCCATTGTGTACTAGGATTTTGCAGGGAACCCCAAACCCTGTGTGACCCCTTCCTGTCATCTCCACCCCTGAATTTATGTCTCCCAGATCTTCCTTCCTTTTTTTTCAGCCCTGCCAGGCACACTTTACCTTAGGCTCTTTGTCCAGAACGACCCTCCATCCCGTCCCTGCTGCCTGCATACTTTTGCGCTTTAATTTTCCTCAGGCGACAGCTTGGAGTCACCTCTCTTGACCTCATCATTTAACATAACCCCCACATCCAGTACACACATATCCTATGACCCCTTGCCCTGTTTCCTTTTTTATTGGGCATCCACCACTCCCTGACATGTTAATATATATTTGCTCACTGATCTCCTCACGCACGGATGAGGTGGGGAACTGGATCCCATTCTGTTCCTGCTTGGTTCTCAGTGCTCAGAAGAGCAGCAGTGCTCCACACATATTGGATGAGAGCATTGAATGCCTGAAGACCTCAGCTGATTGGACAAAGGGCAATAGGTGGGTTGGGGGATGCAGATGGTACCCAGGGGCTACTGAGAACAGATCAGATTCTGTGGACACTGAGGCCTGCTGGAATTCCTTAGTGTCAGCAGGGCCCGAGGGGTCCTGGGAGGTTGATAGGGAGGTTGCTGCAGTGGTTTTTGTCCCGTGGACTTCCTCAGGCACCTCCAGTTCAGGGTATATTCTTAGTCTGTCTCCCTGAATCCTCAGTTGCCCACGAATAGGCTGATGCATGACCCTGTCCAGGGGAGCCCTATACAGCCATGTGCCATTTGCTGATTTCTCTCTCTGAACCCCAGGTTCTTCATCTATAAAATGGAGGTAGCAATTCATGGGGAGACCTACTAGCCAGTGAGTATTAACCACCTCTGCAGAACATGCTGTAAATCCCAGTTCCTCTTTGTGAAGCAGACTGACGGGTGCCAAGCTCCTTCCTTTTTCCCTTCTGTCCCTCTGTGAGGAGGGACCAACCAGTCTTATACAGAGGCAGATTGGGCAAACCCCAAACCCCAGGTCTTTCTCCAGCCCTCTCTGCAGCAGTAAGATGTGAGTCTGACATTCCACCAGGAGAGATTAGTTGTCTTACTTAAGGCTCTTTTAGAAAGACAAATACGGATAAGCAGTTATTAATGCCAACTCCAATGTGTGAAGGAAGAGGCCAGTCTGCTCCCTGGTTGAGAGCAGAGCTCTGGGGGAGTGGCCACTTTGGTGGGGAGGAGGCAATATGAGGGGAGCATGACATCACAGAGTGCCCTAGATGATGGTGAGCCTGGGGCAGAGACTGAGGTGGGGCTCAATGTGGTGATGGTAGGAAAGGTAACTAGGCCTCAACCACTGGACATCCCTAGCCTCTCAGGCATAGGGGGAATGGGGCCGAGGCCCCCAGAGCAACTAGATTTGGTCTCCTGTGACTCTCTATTCTTCCTTAGGGTTGAGGAGGGGTCTCTGAGCTGTGGGGCTGGTGCAGGTAGAAGGTGTGAAGATGGGAAGAAGGTTCAGTCCATCTCAGCCTGGAAGCTATGGAATTCACCAAAGTCACTGTCCTAGGATGCACTGAGGTGTCCCCAGAGATAGCCTTGTTGCAGCCATTTTGGACCTCATAGTGGAGGTGAGAGACATTATAGAATGCTCTCAGGGAGTTGCTGGGTGGTGGCAAAGACAGTGTGAGAGGGGGTTCCCACAGGGCTTAAACTTGGAGACTGGAGAAGGGAGCATCCTTCCTTAGAAGGGGCTTATGGCACAGAAGCATCTCCCTATCTTACAGCCCTGTCAGTCCCTCCCAAGCTTGATCCTAAAGTATACAGTCCTTGTCCTCACAGAGGGTCCACTATGGCTGTTTGGAATGGCAGAAAATTGAAAACCACCTAAAGTCCCTCAGGGAAGGAATGTTTTATTTTAAAACCGTGAATACTCTACAGCAGTTAAAAAGATGAAACGATCCTGAATGTACGAACATGGAAAGCTACATCATCAGATGGGAAAAAACGAGCTGCAAAATAATCCATGCTACATACACATGGAGGCCTGCTGTGCTCCTTCCATATGTACTTGCATCTGTATTTACACGCAACGGATAAGGTGTGGAAGTCGTCCAGAGTTGAAAGCAGGGAGCATGGGGTGGGGAAAGGGGACGTCTTCCCTGACTTTCACTTTTCTTATTTGGTTTGACACATTTAGACCCAGAATGTATTCATATATCACTTGCATAATTAACTTTGAAGAAAAAGAGAACTGTGCTAAAAGAAGAGAATTGATTAAAAAGAAGGTGGTATAAGTGGGTGAACCTGACAGAATGTGGGACCCGCAGCTGGTTTTGAGGAGACAGACACAGACTGGGCATTGAGTGCCTGGGAAATACTTCCTGAGGGGAATGGAACTGTCCTTGGTGGGTCTGCTGGGCTCTACCCCAAAACTTCCTCTGAGCTGAACTGGGTGAGGATCTCTGGGGTTCGATGCAGATTCTTTCCACCCAACAAGCTATAAATGTAAATTGTTTCAGGCCATGGCCATGAGTTCCAGGAGATGCTATTTGGGGATGGAATCCATAATGGAAGGGACACCCTTCCCAACACCATCCCCAAACTTGGGGGAGTTCCTGCTTCTCTGTACCAGTGTCTCCAATTGTTCTTCCCGGCACCACCTCATCACCTGAGTGTCCTACTCCTCACAAGTCAGCGTGCTCTATCTCAGCCTCTTCTAAATCATGG